GATCAGGCTCAGATCAGGCCTGGTTGGGACCGGATGGTCTGGATGGTCCGGATCAGGTCCGGATCAGGTCCGGAGAGTCCCGTGAAAGAGCAGCAGCACCAGTGGAGCTGGAAGAGCTGCTGCTGTAAGGCTAAGGATGGATCACTTCGTGGCAGGGTAGATGTTGGAGTACCAGCCCTTGGCAAATCGGCCAACTTGTTACAAGGGGAGGTCGGCCGTGTCTCTGAGGTCAGAGGTCAGTCCTCCTGCTCCACGCTGTCCTGTCGACCTTCTGTCCTCTTCTCCTTGTGGCATGAGAAGATCCTCCGCATCTCCTCCTCGTACCTGATGAAGTTCTCTCCGAAGCGAGCCCAGGCCTTTAGGGGGACGGTGATGGTGTTCCTGTAGGGCTGGCGGACCTCGCTGATCTTCAGGAACACGCCGTAGCGGTTGGAGCCCACGTCGAAGTAGAAGCGCTTGTTGTCCACCCTGAAGGACGCGGCCTCGGGCAGCTCGGGACTCTCGGCGCGGCTCCGGGGACCGGGGCGGCCGTGCTCGTCCACCTCCTCGTCCCCGTAGTCCTCGATGAGCTGGGACAGGGCGTCCCTGAACTCGATGAGGCCCTGGGCGGGCAGCACGATGGTCTGCTCGATGCCCTGGCCGTAGTAGCCCATGGAGCCCTGGCCCCTGCTGACGGTCTGCCGGATGCGGAGGAAGCGCCCCCTCTGGTTCTCCTTCAGGTCCAGGAAGTACTTCCTGTTGTCCCTCTCGATCAGCTCGCTCTTCAGGACCCGGTGGGCGTGGTCATCGGAGCCCACCGACCCGCTGGGTGACGCGTGCTGCTCCCGCGCGTTTCTGCGCGCGTCATGCCCGCGGCCCTGGCCGTCCTCTGCGGGCTGAGCGGCCTGGCTGCCCCGCAGCCCGATGCGGGCGTAGTAGTCGATGAAGTCCCCCAGGCAGTAGCGCAGCGCCGGGGCCATGGCCATGGACAGGGTCAGCTTGCTCTTCCGGATGTTATCGTGGCGCCCCCTCCCGATCCACACCTCGGCGATCTTCAGGAAGCGGCCGCGCACGCTCTGCTTCACGTCCAGGTAGAAGCGCTTCTTCTGGATGTCCACGCGCTTGGAGGCCAGTTCCTGGATGTCTCCGCCCTGCTGCGGGGCTGCAGCCGGGGCGAACTGCTGCGCATACGGCGCTCTGGGCAGAGAGTCGGCGGCGATCTTCGCCCTGCTTCTCTCCCCCCCCCTGCAGCAGCCATCGGCCATCATCATCATCATCATCATCTAGATCCCGGCAGCCTGAGCAGGAAGAAGCGATCCCTCCATTCCCAACATGCAGAGCTCCGCTCCGCTCTCCATCAGCCGGTCCGGGAGGCTGGAAGAAGCTGCGATCCGGGAATGAACCCGATGAACCCGGTCCTCCCCCCCTCCCGTCCTGAGAAGCCCTCCGTTAAAGAGACGCGACGTCAGCAGAGATGCGCGCTCACTGCGGCGCGCGGAGCTGCATCATCTGCAGACCTCCTCCTCCTCCAAACAGCTGCTGCTCACGTTTAAAACATCTGTTTTATCCCCCCCCCCCCCCCCACACCCCCCCCCCCCCCCCTTTTAAAAACCTTCTTTTTCCCCCCCCCCCCCCCCAAATAAAAATTAATTCAGACTTTAATGCTGCTGTAAAGATGCACTAAAGGCATGGGCGGTTCCAGACAGGGGCCAACGGGGGCCAGTGTAGTAGATGGCCCCCATACTCAAGACATAACACTAAAAAAAATAAAATAATATATATATATTATTTTTTTATTTTTTTTACTGACAGTAGACTGACAAGAAAGGGTGAGACATGGGGGAGAGACCACAGGTTGGATCTGATGCAGTAAAGGCTGATTTATACTTGGACACCAGGTCGTCTGCCTAGTTGTCGCAGGAACGCAGATATGCCCCACCCCCTCCACAGACACTGCTACACCTCTCCAAAATTGTAGGTGACCGCAGACAGGAGGCCTCTGATTGGTCAAATCTCCATCCGCTCTACTCTCTGCGTATTTCCTGTTTGGTTCCTTACCGGCTGGTTGTGTCTGTCTGACCGCCATTGTGGAAATCGACTGGTGAAGATGGAGCAGCTAGCAGAGCGAGGTGAGAACGCTGGGACCCTTTTTCCACCTGGATCTCCGCTCTTTTTGGCCCTTATGTCCCTCCGTTGTCGCACAAACTTGCCCCCACTTCCTCACCGCCATATCTAGACCCACAGCTAGTTCCTGATTGGCCCTCTAGCGTTGTGGCGTGGAATAACAGCGCAGACCACGCTTCAATATATCGGGAGAAATCAAAAATATCTGCGACAGGCTGCTGGGGCAGGATAAGCAGGATAAGGTCGTGCGTGTTAATGGCTGCGCCACCTGCGCGCCCATACTCAAAGAAGTTCTAATGATGGTCTGCTCTGGAACAGACATGGTTACTGATTGGTCCTTTGGATTAATTTCAGGTTTTTTCTTTACAAATTCTGTTTTACTATTTATTTCCAAACAATAAGATATAATAAGACTTCAGTGGTACTGAGATAGGATCCCAGTTTTCCTTTGAATTTATCAGTTTTTCTTGAGTGACAATTCAGATTTTATGGAAGACGGTCATTTTAACTTAAATAAAGTCAAAAATATGTAATATTCATAAGTTATGAATGTATA